TCGACCAAAAGACTGCATTTAAGGTCGTACTTCGGGCGATGACCGGGCGTCTGCTACGATTTGCGGACGCCGCTGCAGTACGGAGATGACAAACAGAACTCTGTAAGCAGCTGGACCATGTGATCAATCTCGCATTGCCGTGGTAACGATCGATAGACACATTCCCTCTCACGCCGCCTCGCTCCTTTTAGGACTGACTGGTACCCTGTCCTCTGCGCTCCCCGCCCCCCCTTCAACCACGTCTCACAGGCTTTTATGACCATGAACTAACATGAACTGCCATGTTATGACAAAGTCCTCCCTCCCCCTCCTTTCCTCCACCCCCTCACCATGCGCCCACATCTAAGACTAATAGCTTTTACTCTATTTACCTATCAAGTTTCAGCCTTCTAGGTCAACACTTAATTGGACAGTAAGTTTATCTTCTTAGTAGGCAATTGCCGTGTGCAGTTGAAAAAGAGGTCGGGAAATTATGTGACGTCATTAAATTCTGCTAATCTCGTGATTTTCGCCTTGTTCAAATTTCTTCCGGGAAAACAATGTTTCAAAACTCTGTGTGTCACCGGCGCCCAAGCCCGGCCTTGCTCTTCTTTACTCTGTCTTGACATGGGGCACAGGTGAATGAGGGAAGAGAGCGAGAGTGTGGCAGATGCAGCGCAAGTCACCGCATTTGCAGTCAGCCCGCTGAAGCACGCGGTAGACATTGCCGGACTCGACGGTCGAACTTTTATGTTATGTATCAAAATTATTAGAAAAGAGGTTGATAGAAGTTGGCAGCCGGACGAGAGCACGTCCGGAACTCTGAAATTGGCGCCCGGGGGTGTGAGTTGCAGAGTCTTCCTATCGCCTTGAGCGAGGACACGTCCGAGTCAGCCTTAAAGATGATTGGCCGGTTTGGATTTTGGTGATTGGTCGAGAAGCAGACTGCCTCTGGTATGCACGTGGAAGTAAGTAGAATTGGCGCAGCGTTGCAAACGGAATCCGGGATAGGGCCACTAAATGTCCTTTCCATTGTTCGAACCTGACCGTAAAGAAGGACGTAGGTCCTTTGGAGTCGATAGCACCAAGACGAGAAACAGTTAAGAAGAAGAAGAGGATACGATCGCTGGAACAAGAGTTCAGCTAGCCGGACGTTTTGGATTCTCTCGTGAACCAGCGGCAGTCGCAGATCATGGTGATGGGTTCAAGTGAGGATCCGAAGCGTCCAGCCAATAAACTTCTTGTTTCAGTGATAACATCTTGTTCTTCTTGTCTTTTGAGGTGACTTCACAATTAAGTACTACTCTAAAGAGCGTTTTCAATTAATCTAAATGGCCAGTGCAGGGTGAATTAAAAGCTAACTAGTTGGCTTTCTGATCTGACCAGCAGTACAGTATATTTTTTCATCTCGTGAAATGTCAACCGAAAATCTAAACTGTGTCTTCGATTCGAACAAATTACTTAATTATGGCTGAAAGATTGAACATCGTACCGCCTAATCTCAATATATTTCGGTGAGATCAGGATTCCGGCTTTTGGACGAGCATCTCCTTGACCGCGGGCAGAAAGTATATTCTGTAAAATATGGCTACGTAAATAGTACTGATTCTTCTTAGTTATATTTACTGCTCTTTTAAATCCAAATATAGTTTATGAAAATAGCATACACAAAGATCTCGGCGGTTA